CCTATTCGAATCTAACTTTCACATCTAGCATCGTTCACCAGCACACTACGGTTCTTTTCTTGGGTCGAAATCTGTACATCAAGAGCAGGGTTACCCTGGAAGAAGTTGACCGGTTTCAGCCCTACCATCATTTTCTCGCACGGCATCACCGGCCAGTCTTCGATGCGCGGGTTATGCGTAGACCCAAACGTGTGCCAGACTACAATGTCCTCGTTGCGCACCGAAGACGAGTCACCATCCTTCCGTTGCTCTATCCAGGATCCGATGCCATCCTCTCCGGTTGACTGCATGGTGAACCTCCCCGCCGGGAAGAGCTCCTCGTCGTGATGTCGTGTCACCCAGACAGCGTGGGATGTGTACCTTGCACGCTTGCCATGCCAAGAGTTTGGTTGGGCGAGGAGAAGCTGGCTGTAGTGGGGTAGAAGCTTGAAGCCTACAGCGGTCCCTGTGGTTGAGTTGGTGACGTTCTCATTGACGATCTTGAAAGTTCTGTTTGTGTTGAAATCGAGATCCAAGCCTGCTTCTTTGTCAATGACTTTGGACGTTGTGGTGTACCCTACGCCAAAAGGGTTATACGTGTCCGTGTCCCCAGTGAAGGGAATCGGATGAGACTCCTCGACAACCAAGGAGTTTCGAGGCCCATCGATGGCAGGATCAATCCTTAAGCAGAAGATGTGTTGGTGATATGGCGCCAACACGCCTGGAGCGACAATAGTCCCCCATGGGACCTTGGTGTCAAGATCAATAGGTGCTGTCGACATGATGCCCGTGGCACGGACTTCATAGAATATTGACCCGTCCTGCTGGAAGTAGAAGAGAAATATGTACTCGTAGTTGCTGACTGTAATGATGGTCTGCAGCACGAGAACTCTAGATCTCGTGACTACAGCGTTTCCAGTCCGGAAGTTCGTGTGCTTCCAAAGAATACCGTCATCAATTTCGTGGCAGCAGATAACGTTCGGCATCTTCAATGGTTCTCCCGACGAAGTACTAAGCCATCCGTCAAAGTACTTGATGTGTCCGAGACAATCGCAGCCCAACTTGAGGTTATTGGCGTTGATCCCTGCGCCGTCGTTACCCAGATCAAAAGCGGCCTTCCGAGGATAGGGGCATCGAGGATCCCCGTAAGGCACGAACATCTCGGCTAGAGACAGACGGTGGAATAAACTCCGGCCCTCGAAACGGATGTCATGCAGAGTCATGCCCTCTCTATAGTTGAAGCCAACTCTGATTGTCCACTTTTCCCAAGAGATGTGGTTTTCGTCGATGCTAAACGATGGACCCTCGGGCTGGAAGACATGGTACGGCTTTGTAGTTGTCCTGCGCTCTTGTACGAAAGCTGGATGATATTCGCTGTTGGGATGTATCTTGCGGCGGTCGAATTCCTTGCCCTCATCGCTGAGCTTATCGTGCTCTCCAGAAGGTAGCCGGTAGATTTTGACCACTTCGAGGGAGTTGGATACCTCCGCACATATGTCCAAGGGGTAGGCATAGTAATTCGCGTCGGGGTTGTCAGAGAGTCGCATGTAAAACCATGCCTAAAATCTTTAGTTCACTAGTTGGCACGGGCGAGATATGTAGGAATCCCACCATTGTCCAGCGGTCTTTCATGTCCCTCATGCCATCTGTGGCATATGCCCAAGGCTCGACGACGACGGTTGCGCCTTCTGGCAATTTGAGGGCACTGATCTCGCGTTGGATCTTTTCGTCCGCCAGACAAGCTGCAGCCACTTGTGCCATAAAGTCAGTGTCGATGAAGGAATGGCGACCTGGTAGCGGGGTGTTAGAAGCGACGGTGGCAGTGTCCAAGTTGACAATCATCTCATGCAAAGTTTTGGCGATGTAAGCCTGCACTCTAGCCTGCCTGGCCAGGTGCACAGCATCTCTAATGCCAGCATGCTCGCTATCAAGGAACTTGACCAGTTCTATCTTCGGTGGCTCGGCTAGAGAGATTGCGCGATAAAATATGTCCCTGCTCTGGTTCGACTCACGGACGATTCCGGCGGCCTCGATTGTGTCAATATACATGAATGAAAGAATTTGTGTCGTATGTGGGAATCACTTCAAGATCACTCACCTGGCTGATTTCTTCTGGCCGCAGAGGATCAAGTGGATGGGGCTTCCCCCTGATGTTAGCGTCTCCCATGATGGTTATTCTCGACCACTCGAAAGCTGGCGAATGGAACTTGGAAAGCGTAGACCTTGGCCGTCGGAACGAAAGGGAAGAAGGAGAGAGGCGCGAGATGGGTTGTTCAAGGCAATAGCCGGGGATTTAACTTCGTAATGACGCCGAGAGCGGCACATGTGACTATCTCGGGGTTGATAAGCCGATCATTCGGGGTGATAGCGCGCCCCCGCACCGGACGGCGTGCATCGCTGTCCCCGAAGGGTAGTTGGAGCCTCGAAAGTGGAGAACTTCATCCGGTGCCGTTCCGCAAAGGTAAGGAATTGTCGAGGTAATAGCCGGTTCTCCGGTCATCAACCTGGTTCCTCAACCATGATACCGGTCCGGTCCGTTGTTCCTGCATCAAGCAGAGATGTCTTCCGCGCCCTTCGGGTGGACCGCCCTCTCCCTTGTCTGCACGTTCATGGCGAGCCTATCCCGCCCAAAACACACATTTGATATCAATAGGAAGACCATTGGTCAAGTGTAGTTTTCATACCCATTGAATTACTATTCCTAATCATAAGCAGTCTAAGGTTCATTATGCAATTTTAACTCCATCATGTCTATCGCTTTCCCGCCGGTCCCAGTAGTTGCGTTAGAAGACAGCTGCTTTAAACATGTTCAGCCGCCTAATCCTGACTCCTCGGCTTGCCAAGCCCTATCTCATTGATATATCCGTTGAGCACCTTTCTCTCATCTTAATGGAAGCTGTTGTCGTTTCAGCTGTTCTATATCAAATGTGCTCAAATACTGGCTCTCAGTGTAAGCCACCCGCCTAGAAGAAGGGAGCGGGCGGCAAAATAGCAAACACCGCCCAAGAAGAGGATAGCAAGATAAAATCCCGAGAGCGCTGTCCCACCCATACTCTCTAGCATCTGTCCACCGATGGGGACGGTTACTAGTAACGAGAAACTGACTACGAAGTTCATGGTACCTTGATGTTGCATCGTTAGTCAATAAAGAAGGCGGTAGCGGTGGAAGGGCAGCTCTTACCCAAGTACCTCCCGTAGTCCTTTGGCTCGCAAGTCTTTCCCAGACAGACTAGACTTTGTTAGTAGTGTCATTTGACAAGACGGAGTCCATCGGGGTTGAATCTTACCTGGCGTGCTTGAGAGGAAGGAGCCAGATCCATAGCCCCAAAGCGCGGCAAAGGCATACAAGGCACCAATATGTTTGGTTCCAAAAGGCACAAAAACGACCCCAGTGAACACAATGGTAATACCTATCATGATGAGGAGGATGTTAAGGTGGCCAATTCTATCGCCGATCACGCCGGTCATAATGCGACCGAAACATGAAGTGCCGTTTAGAATGGCTACAAGGGAGAACCCAATGTTCGAAGGGAAGCCCGCAGCAATGGCAAAAGTAGGCAATAGGCCAGTAATTCCAAAGAGAACGAATTCCAGCATGAAGAGACCACCGGCCATAAAGCCAAATGGAGGGGAGCGGAAGGCGGAGAAATTGAGCAGGGCTCCGACTCTCCCAACGGGTGCTCCAGAGACAGGAGTTGATAGGCGAGGGTATGGGAGAAAGCATATGACGCCCAAAACCATGATACCAAGAACTAGGAATCCCATGATCCTCATGGACCACTGCCAGCCCAGTCGAGGCAGAATGGACCGAAGCATCATCGAGATGGTCACACCTCCGAAAGAGGATCCGGAGAGCGCCACTCCCATGGCAAGCCCCTTGCGACGATTGAAGAGCTTTCCGATGACTGCCACAGCGACTGTCGATGTGAGGGCACCACCGATGCCGCCCAGTACTCCCAAGCAAAGAATGAAGTGCCAGTATTGCGTGCATTCACCCATAATGAAGAACACGGGCACATAGAGTGCCACAGAAATGGGAGCCAGCCACTTCGTGCCATAGGCATCCATCAATGGTCCAGCTTGGATTCCAAGGAACAGTGCAAGCGAGGTGAAGATTCCGCTGATCCAACCTAGATCGCGAGTGGAGTACTCACTCAGCTGGTGTAGCTGGAGGTATGACTGAACAGTTCCAACGGATTGCATGAACCCTATCGTGGACCATGAGCATAATCCCAGAGAAACGAAGGTATCATGATGACGCTTACCGTATGATGGATATAGGAACATGAATGATCCCAAAACACATAGCCAGGCCAATGGGCTAGATTCGGGGTCGTGATGGCGAGAACTCGTCGGACTGCGCATTGCCCCCAGCTCAATAGCGCCCGGCGCATCGTGGGATTCAGTCACAGTCACTCTTTCTCGCTCCTCTGAGGCGCCCATCGTGGCTCTCAAACACGATTTTGAAATTTGATGGTGACTACTCGATGTGTGCCAGAGAAAAACGTTCAGTTCAGTGCACGAAATTTTCTCCTCTTTAGTCGTATCTCGGGATCCAAGGCCGTCTGGCCGGGATGCCTGCCGAAGACGGCGTATGCACCTAGTAAGAGTCATTCAACCATGTCGACCACGCCTTGCAACCCTTGCGTCTCATAGAAACCACCGTATGTGGCAGAAAGTGGGGTCCCACGCCCTAGGCTTATCATGTGTTCGCCCTAGGACCTAGGTTGGTTGAGTCGATCTAGAATCTCTTTCAGACAGAGTCTGCATGTCTCCACGTCCGGTGGGCGGAGATGGGTTGGGGTAGTAGTTTCGTTGGGTTTCCTCGGGAAACTCTTCCCAGTAAGGCAGTTTTGCGCGGACACTATAGGGTTCACAAAGAACATAGACAACAACTTTGAGCGTTTCACTAGTTTCAAAGCCTGTGGCTTATGTGCATTCTTGAATGTAATGTATTGACACGCAAGTCGGGATATATATACGTGAAGATCACCCCGCGCTTGTTTAAATGTCTACACAGATTACAAGTAAGAAGCCTCAACCAAGAAACCGACGGTGAACTTGGAGTGGCGGAGGACGGCGGACCACTGGATAGTGTCGTAGCTCTGTTGCATGCCAAGTCAGCATCTAGTTGGTTTCCAATATGGGAGTAATGACAACTTACGTCGTTGGGGCTGTGGATGTAGGGGGTGGAGGTGTCGATGGGCTCATCGCAGACGTAGGCGGCAGCTGTAGATTCAAGTTAGATCATAAATCTCGCACTTCCCAAAAGATTGGCGTCAACTTACGGAAGCCGTTGGAGCGGGCGCTGGCGTGGTCAGAGCACCCGTATCCGCAGACGTCGCTAGTGGGCGCGCTGCCGGTGTACTGGGTTCCAATGAGACGGACGTAGGTGGTAAGAGCGGAATCAACTATCAGGAGTCAGCAATGTTACTACATACGTGCATGGCATCGATGAGTGATGAGCTTACCGTAGTCGTTGTAGACCGAGAGCTTGCCAGAGGGAGAGTAACCGGCCATATCCTGATTGACGAAGGCAAGGACGGTCTTTCCAGCGGACTTGTAGTTGGCGAAGACAGCCTGAGAGCCAAGAAGGCCGCCCTCCTCACCGGCGTAGAAGTGGAACTCGAGGGTGTTCTTGGGCTTGAAGCCAGCGTTGGCGAGAACGCGGAGAGCCTCAAGGATGACAACGACACCAGAGCCGTTGTCGTCAGCACCGGGTCCACGGGCAGTGGAAGATCCTCCGGTGGAGTCGAAGTGGGCACCAACAATGACTGATGCTTACGATTAGCACATGGAAGGCTACGATGGAGACGAGCGGAGCAACATACCCAGGTCGGAGCTGGTTCCGGGAATCTTGACGATGATGGACGGCTGGCTGAAGGAGTGAGTGAACTGGGTGACGGTGATGGCCGAGTTAGCAGCCGCAACAGTCTTGACCTGGTTGAACAACCAGGTGGCAGCCTGGGTACCGTAGGTGGAGCGGTAGTAGCGGTTGTAGAAGCTGGATATTGTCAGCATGTACTCGCAGGTTGTATCTGAGATCGTAGTCACTCACTCGGTCAAGGTCTTCAACCACGTCTGGGGATTGGTGTTAGAGACCGACGCGATGAGGGTGTTCGCCTCGGTGACGTGGGACAGAGTGGTGGGGTATGTCACTCTGGCCTCAAGGACCTCCTCCGGCGGGGTGGACAGGACCGCCAAGACCTCATCGTCCTTTAATGGGTTAGCTTCTTCCATAAAACGATGGGAAACAGTTCAGACGTACAACAATGTCGGTGATGTCAATGAAGCCAATGTGCTTGTTGACATACTCCTCAATCTTCTGGTCCTCCGTGACCCAGGTGCCGGCGTCGGCCTCGGACGTCTTGATCAGACGGAGCGCAGGGTCGACTTGAGTCTCCTCAGTGGCAGGCGCAGCCAGGGCAACCCTGGAGGCCGCGAGGATCGCGAGAGCAGCGTTGAGATGCATCGTTCAGATTGTCCTGTTGATGAGCGGCGTCCGTTGTGAGTGGTGCAGGTGCAACGAACAGAGCAAGAGAACCTCTCTGGCCAAGAATCTGGAGAGAAATCCCCTTTAAATACACTCATCGCAGATTTAAGGAGAAGCGAGGCATATACGGCCTCCCGCCCAACGCTTGCGGGATGTGGAGGATCAGCCAGGACGGCGGCAGGACCCGTTGCCCCAAACAGGCATCTCATTATACCAACGGCTTTCGCCGTCGTGGCACGCAATACGATGAATGAACAGAAACAGGAAGTCCGTTACTCAAAAGCCCACAAACACTGTTCAATTCCTCGGGGGATGGAGAGCATGCGGCAGGAGCATTTAAGCTTATCATGATCGCCAAGCCCGCGCGAACTTTGGGAGCTGCCCAACGGAGCTAGTGTCGGCTGTTGGCTGGGTCATTGATGCTACCCCGGCCGGCAGTCCCGCACACTCAGACTTGGGTTTTTGAGGACATTATTGGATGCTGCTTAGGGTGTAATGTCGCTCAACGCGATTTGGGTTCTTGGCAAATCCACATCACGGAGCGTGTGAGCTGTTTTCTGCGCTGGAAGGGAAAGTGTCTTTATGACGCGCTACTGGGTTATGTCCTGCTTCGTTAGGATGTTTGACTACCTTGCGAGGGTGAAAGTTACAACTTTGCGGGCATTTGATGCCTGTTGATGCCTTCGCTCTGTAAAAAGGACTACATCGTTTCCCACCCCTCTAGGAGTTGGGACCTCGTAGTCGTTGACTTTTGAGATACCTAACACGATGGACTCTGCCAAGAATTGAAGCCTACAGGGAGCGTGACTCGTTCAAGCCCCAGCTTCCACGACAACGGAAAGAAATGCCCTATACCTTCTTTCAAATAACCTTGAGCTCACATACTCATTCCTCTCGACGTACAGTGTGGTTACATCGTCAATAGTGCGAAAAAACGCAGTCGGTATGGAAAAACAGCATGCATTCGCTCACGTCCGTAATAACGAACCAGTCCTTTTTGCGCAAACGAAATTGATGACTTCCCCAGGACTTCCCCAAGTGTCATAACTTGAATCGAAGCAACTCATCCCGCTCGTATTGATTCGCAGCTCTACTCAAATGCATATGACACACGGATGGTGAAGTATCCTGAGCCATGATATCGAGGGCGTCGGCTTCATGTCAGGAACCTTCGAATCGGTTCTCTTCTCAGACGCTTGTTGAATGATATTAGCCATGAAGTCTTCTTGTGATTGCGTTGTCGAACTGGCTGCCTTCCAGGTTTGCTCAAAAGCCATAACCCGCTGGCCAACTCGAGTAGCTAGGCCAGTATTAAGTTAAGAGTAACATACTTTGATGGCCCGCCAGCTTACATTAACCGTCATTACCGGCTGAGGAGACCTTTTTGCACAGTAGAAGGTCACTTTCTACTCAATGCAAGCTCTTGCAGTTCAGATATCTCGGCGCCATCTTTGCGTGGTAGTTGTGAATGAAGCCGGGATATGAGACTGCTATCGATCATTCCACCCTGGCTGATCATCTAGAACAATGTGGCATGCAACAGGATGACTACTCTCATTCCATGAATTATTTCTTGTACTTTCGGGTTCAAAAATGAAATGGTTCTGTAGCCAAGCAAAGCCATTCAGCTAGTCTCCAGATCTTGCAAGTTGCAAGTCTCGCTGAGTAAGTCTACATCCTATAATCTTACCGCCGTTGTAGTAAGATCTTAGTTGTTGGTGTTCTTCACCATACGACTATTGACACCTTCCCCGTCATTGTAAAATTGCATTGTGGAAATTCTGAGGGCTGTGTTCATGCTTGTAAGTCAAGTCGGGCAGCATGTAGTTTAGTGCGATTAGCCTCTCGATTCAGCGAGTCTTTTGGTAAAGCAACCCGCCTGACATGTGGCTCAGCCGCAGATCCTTGAGACCGAGACCGAAATTGTGGACATATTTCCGACTGTCGGACAGTATCATGTTGATATCCCATTTTGAACTTCACAGTCGACATATTGCATTAGATTTTTATTTAGCTGCGCAACCTGATATCGTTAGATGACTTGGCGCTATACTCGAGCTTTGGTGAAATGTTAAAGCGATGCCAAGTAAAGTTCTGTGTCAGGATGACCGTACTAGTTGAAGTAAAGCTGTTTTCAGCGTGTGCTTTGACCTATTCTCGTTGAGCATAAAGTAAGCAAGGCTCAAGGACGTCCAACAAATCGCGCCACAGAAGCATCCATAAGCTAGGCATTGAGTGAATTCAGTTCAAGACGAGAGCTGCGCTGTGGCCGTGATCCTTCAGATTTTCGAACTCTTGCTACATTACGACTCATGCAGTGTTCCGTCGCCACGGGTCTTATATCAGCGCTCATATGTATGCAACTCCGTCTCGACGCTGCTGCGGTCGTTGCATACCTCTCACGAAGCCCTGGCGGGCTGCTCGCCCGGCTCTGGACGCTTTACGGAGTTTTCGTTATTGTCATCCACGTTTACCGTAGGTTTGTCGTCGCAACATGGGCTGATTTTCACCGAGACAGGATCGAGTTCTTCGTTGTTGCTCCGTTGCGTACCGGTATAGGGCTTTATATTGCTAAACTCGATACGTTTCGCTTTGGGGTCCGTGAGCCCTATTCATTGAGCCCATCAACGCTCTAGCCTCCTGAGCTTCCGAACGTTTCCGACCACGAGGATATTCAGGAGGACGACTCTTGCTGAAGTGCGTCTTGCTTAACGTATTATGGGATTTGACGAGCGGCTGGTTGCTAGTAGGGCCCTAGTATCTGCCGCCATGGACACACAGTCCTATGGCATCGTCTACTACATACCGAAACCAACAGGAGACGTTGCCAAGGATGTACCATGGAGCCTAATAGTTTGGGTGGAAACTTGGCAAATATTGGGAATTGAGCGCTCTGGGAAGCTGCCTCCGTTTTTGAAATCACCTATCTTGGAAGAGTCTAGCAATCGAGTGCAAAGTCTGATTTAGAATGGTGACAGAAAGATCCTCCAAGTAAAATGAAGACAAGATGGAGCAGGTCTGATTGATTCTAGAGAACAGAGAATGGGAGTTTGAAGGAGCAATCTGTACTACCTCAGCAATTGCATGACAGGATCATTGAACGCCTAATCTAGATGCTTCCAAATTCCTTCCTCGTCCATTCAGTCATTTAATGCCAGGCCGGAGTAAGCCTAAGGAACTCTTATGCGCCTGGCAGTTTCAACCAACGGTTTTAAGGCCTCCCCATACATATCGTGGGCCAGGTCTCGTACCTCTTCGGGTTTGAGGTAGTTCCTTGAGAAAAGCCATTTGCTGACCTTGTATCTCTTAACCACGAAATGTTCATTTACCCAGGCGTGGTTCTCCAGGAGATCTTCAATAATCCTCCTGGGATGTAACCCAGCCTCCTCGATAAGATAACGGACAACCTTCATGGCACTGATGCCAGAAAAGGCTGCCCCTAGGATACCGCCATACTTCCCAGATTTGATGTTCCGATCCGCACCATGTTCGAGAAGAAGTTCAATGACGTTTAAAGCGCCTTCATAGGCAGCAACTGAAAGCGGGGTTGTTCCGTCACCGTTATCGAGATGCAAGTCCACAGTCGCCCCAGACTTGATCAATATTTCTGCTGCATCTCGGCTGTCCCAGTATGAGCAGCCTGCCAAAGCACAGTGATATAGACAGGAAGGGCAAAGCCCGTCAGGATTGGCCCCATACTGAATCAGAAGTTTGACGATCTCACAATGTCCTTCACGAGCCGCTGCACATAATGGGCGTGTGCTAGCTGTGATGTTTGGATCGGCCCCGTTCTTCAGAAGCTCTTGAACAGAGATTAGCTGATTACTTCTGCTAGCCTGAATTAAGGCAGTGCCCCGTGCCATAACTTTGTTCGGATTGCTTCCCATTTCAATGAGTGAGGCACAAAGTTCGGCGCGTCCGTATTGTGCAGCTACAGCGAGAGTATCAAACTCACCCGCATTGAGCTCTTCAAGATTGAGTTCAAGACAGATTTTTGCCCATTCTTTCTGATAGAGAGTAATGCCAAGAACCACTATCCCAAATGCTGGGTTTGTGACAGGTTCCAAGTCTAAACTCCAGAGACGAGCAATTGACCAATTTAATTCAGATCTGTCCGTCTTCAACATATAAGTCAACCATTTTTGGTACTCCATGGTTGAGTGACGGGGGCAGTCTGGAGAGATCATGAATCGTTTGAGCAATTCCGAGATCTGGTTGACCGCCTCAGCGAAATCTTGTGCTTTTCTGACGTGTGAGATCCAATATCGTGATACGTAGCATTCGAAAGAATCGTCTGGGTAAGGCTCAGATACGGTCCTGAATTCGTCTCCTTCGATCTGGTGACCCACTCGATCTGAATCAGGAGATTCTGTGACGGTAGGGCATTGGTACAATTCGATAAGTGCCAATAGCGATAATTTGGCCATCTCAATGCGAGCATGGTCGTTGGTCAATGCGGGGTGCTTTTTGACGAAGTATTCTTGAACCGATGCGTGAGGAAAAGCCCATTTTCCCTGGTCATCTTTGACGATGAGATGTTGACAGATAATTTCTAAGGCCTGCTCTGATAGTCTTTGGCCCCTAGTGCCCAATGCCAAGTCACCATGTTCGTCGGCAAGACACAGTTGTACGGCCGAAAGAAGTTGTTCCGTTGAAAGTGGAATATGCGCATGGATGACCCATTTCACAGCTCGTTGTAGATAGATACCGTCGTGGGATCCGGGCTTCGCGTACAACTCGTCGTAAGCTGCTGTCAACCCAACAGGAAGTTTCCCGAGTTGATCCGCGACATCCTCGGTGGAAATTAGCTTGACGAGCTTCTCAATTTGCAGGAACGCCCATCTAAACCTGTTGACGCTGTGAGTGATTCTTCTATCAAGCAAAGAAAGGTTGGGTGCGAAAAAGCAATGCTTACATTCCCCGGGCGTCTTTGCTAATCGTTTCAACGACCTTCCCCCTAATATCGTCATTCCTCCAGTGGCAATCAATTCTCTCGGTCTCCTCGAGAACAAAGGTCTTGATATCTCGTTGATTCTGTTCAGCGATGTCTATACGCGTAGGTTCGTTGTTGGCGTTGTTGATCTCATTGCAGATATCTGTTGAGAATCGACTGGAGACGAATATCTTAACTGGTCGTTCAGAAGTATTAACGAGGCTCACCAAAAAGCTGATAATCTCCTGCATCTGCTGGGGCTCCAGCTCGTCTAGGGAGTCAAGTACAAGTGTAGTCCTCGGTAGCGCCTTGACAAGTACTGATATTTTGTCTCGACAAAGGTTTGGGGTGAAGGCTCGTTGATCCCTTTCCATATTTCGGCATAGACTGGCTAGATCATTGAATACTCTATTCGCGTAGTGCGGTACTCGAGCCAGCTGCCGCAAAAAGCTTCGAAGTATATTGTTAACTGGGTCGTCTGTGACGTTTTTGTCGTTCTTGCTGTAATAGAAAAATGCGAAGCCTTCGTCAAAGTTGTTGTCGACCTTATCTCGGTTATACTCGTTTGCCAGGTAACGATCAATTATGTTCGATGTGAGCACTGACTTGCCGGCACCAACTACCAGAAGTTAGTACGTGCAGTCGGCTGAAGGGAGTAAATGACACACCCTTTCCACTAAGCCAAAGAATGTTGGATGAGCTCGAGTCCTCCCAGTCACAAAATTCTTTCCGTTCTGTTAGCCACTCTCCTGTTCCTTGAGTTCTTTTTTTTTTCATCGAACTGTGTTGATCTCCCACATTGATTTCGGAAATAAAATTGAGTGTTCTCATGAGCTTGTCATCTTCCATTTCCGTGAGGATCCTGGTCACCGTTCTGTCGATGTATCGCAGTGGATCGTTCAGTCGATTGAGAAGCCTCAGACTATTGTTATCTTGAAGATGCTTCTTCTTGATATCGCATGCTAGTACGACTTCTTGCAAGCTTTTCTCAGCTTCTTCGAGCTCGTTTAGCTTGTCTTTCGTCTTGTGGGGATCCCACAGGGCTTCGAAGAATCGGCGTACAGCGACACCATCCCCGAGCTGCTTTCTCGCGTAATCCAGAAGCTCAAGCGCAGTTCGATAGGCGTCAATGAGAGCTTTACGCAAGTCTTTTGCGCAAGCATCAAGGTCATCGGGGTTTGATCGCAAGAATACCTGTTCGTAGATTGCACCACGGTTGAACAGACGCAAAACTCTATCAGCACATCCGAAGATAGCAGCAACACTTTCACACCCACTGGCGTGCGCCTAGACGTTGTAATTAGCTAGTGAAAAAAGGAAAGAGTGGCAGTGGTCCTACTTTGAGCAAGACCTTAAGAGCTGACCAGACAACTGGCCCAGGGGTAGGTGCGAATTGTATGCCAATGTCGACAGCAGCGGAAAGGAGACTGATGACGCGCGTTGAAAAGTCCCTCCATAGTATATCTCTGCCTCCAACTGTGATCTTGGCCGACTGGTCCTTGAACCTGTCTTCCTGAACTTGCACGAGCTCGATCAGCTGTTCAACCGGGTCATCCCCTTCAGAAGGCACGTTCTTAGAGATCGACTTCTTGTACTCTTCGTCAAGGGCCTCGAACGCCTCTTTCCACAAATCCGATACTTGCTCCACATCCGGTGAGGGCTGATCCCGGGTTGGAAGGGTTATCCCATCCCCCATGAGCGACGCTTGAGTTTTGGAGGAATTCAAGACATCCGAGGAAGATTTCTCTGGGACAGTGATGGTTTGAAGCGGCACGTCTGACTGCCCTGGCACGGTCTCAACACTTTGGGCATGAGCTGGGCGAGTATTCGATGTGGCCAGCCTGGGTGATTGACGCGGAGCTTTGGGCGATTTCTTGAAGCATGACGATAGAACATCAAGGCAACCATAGCGGCCCTGCTCTGCTTCCACAGATCGTCCCATTTCTCGACAAAACTACTACGCCCTGTAGAGCGAGAGTGACTGTGATCAGAACGATGGTAGGAGACCTGTAGCTGTACAGCTCCCCAAAGCTAGGCTGGGTAAACAATATTAGACAATGATCGTGAGAAGATGTTTGACACGCTGCAAAAGTTAAAGTCGGGGAGAACGTAAAAGTTTGGACAAGTGGATGGGTAGCTGCATCTCTCAGCTCTTGATGCACATGCTCACAAGAAGCAGTGATCAGCACACCGAAAAGGAATACCATGCGTTAAGGCGGTAAATTGCAGGTCTTCTCGGCGGTTGGGCAGCGACTCAATAAATGAGGAGCTTCTATTGGGCGAATTACTCAATGCCTCTGTCTCCAGCTGCATGCGACACCGTATCAAGCATAGCTGGAGAGGCTTTCGAATGTCTTGACAACAAATCAACACGAGCCCGTCGTGCAGGCATGCTGGACGAAGTATCAAACCTGACAGCGGGGCCAAGACACGCAAAAAGTGGTGAAATAGGCGAAAAGAGAGTCCACATATTCGGGAGAGGCTCCAATTGAGCGCTTGAACGGAGGTGAGCTGGGTTCGGTCGTTCCATAAGCGGAAGGAGGGATCATCCCGCCGAACTTCGCTGTAAGACGGGGCCGATGCACGAGCGGCCTATGGATTGGCTACGCACTTCGGTTTACCCGTCTCAACCATGTTGTATTTATGCTTGTTGTTGATTATGTAGGCTCTGAGTATACCTTATGCAATTCCTTCATTATCAGTCACTGTCGTAAACACCCGCACAACTCTGCGTTTCTATTATTGACACAGAGCGACTCAAATAACAATCCAGCGGGAGGCTATAACCCATTCAAGAACTTCGTAGAGCAAGTATCCATTCAAGCTACGAGCATTAATACCTCCAGTAGTTGTCAGCCTTGCTGGCTTTGCTGAGTAATAGTGAACTGGGTTTTGACAAGCAAGGAGTTGAGCGTGGCGCGTACTATGTGTAAAGCGCTGGCTGCAGCCCGCGCCGGCAGTCTTGAGTCGTCAGTCCGGGATCTAAACCTCGATCTGAGTCGCTTGAGGACGTTATCGTAAGAATGGCGAATCTCATAGTGCCTTAGATCGATATTATGTACCTACTTTTCGATAATTCTATCCATGATGGAAGAGCTGGCATACTCAGAGGATCCTACTACAATATCACGGGTGCTATGAGTGATAAGTGTCTTTCAATGGCATGGCTAGGAGCTTGTGGTCATCGTGACTTGAAATCTTGGCGTAAGAAACGGGAGGTCACCAAGCGGATGGAATAGTTATGAGGCGCAATCGTGATATGTATTCATATTAATTTCATGCCTGGCCTTCTGTGCGTGAAGTTCGCAACCAGGCCATGACTCCTAATATATACGTCGAGACCTCAATCTCTTGATGAGCACCAGTAGTGTAGTGGTAGTGTAGTATGTACTCAAAAAGCAGACCCGACCCAGTACCCAAGCATCTCTCTGTGATCTTACAGAAGTCGTGATATGTCGTAAGTTAATGTACCCATGCATCCCCTTGAAGCCCTACTTCGCAGAACGCCTCACCTTGCGCTTCACCTCGCGCCTCTCCTCGGCCCAGTAAGGATACCCCTCACACTCCCCTCTCTGATCCCACTCCTTCCTCAACAACCGATCAACCTTAACAACCTGCTTATCATACCACAAATCCAACCAAATCGCATTCTTCCTCTTCTCCTCCTTCAAATCCCTCATCCGTCTCCTATAGCACTTCTCAATCCTCTTCGCCATCAAGATGTCACCATTCGACATCTTCCTCGGGTACATATCCGCAGCACCAGAACCGAGTCCGCCAGGCCGGAACTGCATGTTGCAAGCCTGCATCCTCATACCGTAGTCCTCGTCCATGCGCTCGTGGTCGTGGAGCTGGCATTCTTTGAGGTAGGCTAGCTCTTCGCGGAGTTTATCCTGCTGCGTGATGGCTAGGCAGCGGACGTATCCTGTGCGCTGAGCGAGGTCCGAGGTGACGGTGCCGTGGTGTTGGATTGCGTCGAGGCCTTTGTAGACTTCCGGGTCTGGGACGAGGAAGCCCTTGGGCCGGGGGTAGGGGACCATGTGGTTGAAGATGCGGAGCATTGTGGATGTTTGTTTGTTTGGTGAGGGTGATGGGTTGGTAGAGGTAGGAGGGATTGGGCAAGAAGCCTGTGAACTTCTGACCAGGAAGTGCGATGATGTGTAATTGGTGTTTTTTGTGAATTGTAGTAGTGACAGCATGTAAGTCGTAGAACAGCTGGACCGACTCTGTCTGATAGAATACCAAGCTCTGGTCGTCCGGTGATGTGGTGAAGTAGTATTCTCCAGAAGAACTCTCTAGAACTTCTGAACGTAGAGAATGAACCGAACACCAGTGACTTGTACCAGACAGGAGTGAGTGGTGCCTCTCCTACAACAGTCAAACAATCTGGTGGGAGATGGTCGGAATTATATAGCCTCCTATATGCCGTCAAGGTACAACACCGTTTCCTAGGGTACACCAACAGATCAACTATCGTGTACCTTTATGACGATAAAGCACCATCTTCCTTTCTTATTCAGCAAAGTTCGAGCGCCAACTTGCTCATCGAGGACCTTGCTGGGGCATCATCGCCATCGGAGTTGAGTATGATAGGAGTTGGTTCCATGGCACCAGCAAAGGATAAATGCGTGTGCTTCTACGTCGAGGCCGAAGAGGTTAGGCATAATCGTGGAGTGGCGACAGGCTTCGAGTCTAAGGCAACAAGGTTGGGTCAACAACAGCTCATCCGAGAAAGATTCTACTTACATGAGTTTGCCTATCCTGTACGTCACGAGAGCATCACTAGTCACGATAACACGAGTCTAAATAGGTTGCTTGCCCTTGACAACTCCCTACAGCTGCTTGTGGCAGCGACGTAGATAGATAGGGAACATGTACATGGAACGTCGAACTTATAACAAAGTCAAGTCAAGTGAAGCATAAGAGTGAAACATAAAGTATGGAGAGCTGAGCTCGGATCCAGTTGTTCTATCTCTACGTCTATAGTCTTCATATTGTCTAGTGCTGTATGTGTCGCCGCCAAGATCCGACGTCTTGTACTGTTACTCCGTGGCCAATGCTTGAAAGAACAAAGTGAATCCAACCCAATCCAAACGAACGCTACCGACAAACGCCACAGTGCCATTTCATATGCTTGCCCTTCTATACGCCTTCTTAAACGCCAATGAATCCTCCTCTTGTGCCCAGCTCTCTGCCGCGAACCCCAACTCCACATCCGGCTCGTGATTCCACCTCGGATTGTTGAAAAACTTCCCAAATAGTGGCGAGAGCCAAAACCATGCCGGTATAACCGTGTGAAATCGCACTAACTAGAAGCTGAGCAGGCCACTTCTTCTCTTACCGAGAGGGTAAACCATGAGGGCGCTCATAAATAACCCAACGGTGATCCCAATAGCGACCTGAATAACGCTAAGAAGAACCGCAAAGGCCGAGTTGTTAAGGTCTGAACTGTCGGTTGATGTCGAAGTACCATTATTGTTCGTGATCTGATCAGCCGAAGTGACACCTGCCAACAATGACCCGCCTGCCGCGAGACCACTAGGGACCTGCACAAATATAGCTGGAAGCATAGCGGCGGCGGCGAGTCCATATCCGACGGTGCGCTTCCGCTCTGGGACGACACCTTGAGCCTTGTCCTTCTCAGAGAAGGCCGTGGTGGTGGGTGTTGCTGGCGCCGATCCTTCGGGAGTGTTCTCTCCGGGGGTATGGATGCCTGTGGGACCGGCAGCTCCGGCGGTTTGACCAGACATTTGGTACATTTCCGGACGAGGACGCTCGTTGCGACGGCGGCTAGCGCTAACGAAGCGCGGGGCCATGCGAAGATCCCACCAGTCGAGGAAGTCGAGGAAATAGTTGTGGGCATGCCGACCGAGGCGGGAGTAGAGGTTAGCTAGCAATCCCACGGTAAGCGCGCCAAGCATATTCGAGATCTGAGCATTGCCGACGAAGAAGTCGGACGAGTAGCTATTAACGAGGAAGCCCGCGAGCGAGATGGTGATCATGACAGGTGTCTGCTTCCACTTGGCCTGATTGATAATGCAAAGGCAGAGGGTGAAGCCCGGCACAAACAACAGGTACCAATTCCTATTAAGCGGGTCGGTGCAGGTCGTTCTCGACTCTGCGTGGCGGTCGATCATGCCGTAGAGGGCAGTGCCAATCGTAGTTCCGTATCCGAGGAAGAGCGTGTAAATCATTGCATAAACCATGCGAACACTGCCGGCGACCAAGTTGTGGCTTTGCAACTCCAAACTACTACAGAGAACCATGTAGCCTGGAAGAATCAGGGCGATGGAGCTCTGCGCCAGCGCGGAGAAGCAAAACAATTCGCCGTTATTGATGGAGCCGAAGGCGCGGGCCAAGAAGGAGGTGACGATGGATGCGGTGATTTCAAAGACGTTCGCATATAACTCATTGCTCGGGGCAAGGATCAGCTGCATCCAGCCCAAGATGCAACCAAGAATGAAAGCGATGGGCAAGTCGATGAAGCGACCCTGGAAGGCGAAGGGGGCGACACACACACTGGCGAGGCCATAGACGGGCACGCGCATCCAATTGCCGAACTTGAGCTTGCGAGCTGTAATGCTCTCCAACATGATGGTAGCCTCGTCGGCGCTGATCAAATCGTGGACAACCTGCTTATAGATGTCATGCACGTCGCGCAGCTTGCCCAGATCGACACCGTGTGCCGAGCGGACGATCTTGACCTCGGTGGTGTGGGTCGCGCTGTCGTCGAAGCTGATAATCATACAGCCGGGAATGTAGAGGAACTGACCCTCGATCTCGAGGACTCGTGCCGACATCTTCATGTACTCCTCCAGTCTGTGGGTTGGAGCTCCATACATCATCAGCGCCCTGCACAGCTTGACGAGATACTTATGTCTCGACAAGATCTGAGCAATGTGCTTAGTAATGCGGTGTTTGTCTTCAGACTTTGATGACTTTGGTGAAGATCCGCCCCAGACTCCAGACTTCTTCCTCTTCGGCCGTGACGGAGGCTCGGTCTTGAGCTTCTCGGTGAAGCCCTGGCTAAACACACTCGAAGCCGGCCCTGCCATGGCGGACGACGACTTCATAAGCTCAGCCAGAGCCATGGAGGAACGGGAGCCTTGCTTCTTGTGGTAGTTGAACAGGCCACTGTTGGGGCGAGAAGGTCGAGGAGATCCAGGGGTTGAGGGTGCAGCGGAGGCTGGCATAGAGCCCGGGGGCGAGTGATTGGGCGTAGCTGTAGCTGGTGTGTTGGAACCCGGCGTGTTTCGACCACTGCTACCGCCGCTGCCATTCTCGTTGTAGAGCTTGAGGAGCGATGATAGAATACCTCCGTGATACTGCTTCGGGGGCGGGACATAGTCGTGAGCGTAAGACTGCTCCAAAGTGGGCGTGGCGGTGCCGGATCGAGCACCTGGAGGCGCCTCATACTTGAAGTAGTCATTCGGTCCGCGGCCACCTTTCTTGGCTCGTCTGGTATGAGATCGGACGAGATTCTCGGCATCCAAGTGCGAGTTCTTTCTGGGACGGGACCTGACCTTTCGTCGCTCATCCGACCCATCAACCGCAGAGCTCAAGCCGGTGACGTGGTCGGTTTCCTCGTCATCGCTGAATGGGTTGTATCCGTCGATGGAGTTGCGACGAGAAGGGGGCGAGGAGTAGTTCTCGACGCTTACAGCCAAGCGGTTGGCACGCTGGCGGGCCTCCAAACCCGAACGCTGCTGCCGCTCGCCGGCAGTTTGCTCAGCGAGGTCGGCTTTCTGTCTTTCCTCGGGTGCATCATAGCTGGTGTTACGGCGGAGCACGGGCCGGGGCCGGGCGGGTGTCTCGGAAGGATTGTTCTCCTGGTTCTCCGAAATCAAGACCTGAGTTAAAGCACGACGCAGCTCACCGGCATCTGGAGCTCCCGCTGGGGTTGCGTCGTTGTCTCGTCTTGGGGTAGCAATGCGTCCGGGTGTATCAAAGGGGTTAACTTCGGGGGACATTGACTGCGCGAAGTAGTCATCGTCAATGACGATGCTTGGTGGCCGATTGTCTACCAGGGGTGTCTGGCTAGGCTGAGGGCTGTCGGCATGGAAGCCGACCTTCTTCTTCTCCTTCTTCTCTTTCCGAGCCTGCGGCGTTGCCGACGAAGGGTGAAGCAATGGCGGAGTTCGAAGCTTGGGCTGTTCCTGTGACGGGTTCTCGAAAGGATTCGGTGGTGTGTTGCTGGAGCCGGAGCTCGTCTGGCCGGACTCTTGAGGCGAGCCTGACATGTTGTCTAAAGAGGGAACGATCGCCGTTCCCAGGCTGTTGGTTGATTCTGCTCAATTATCCTTGATTGAGTTTGAAGATATCGCAGGTGGTGGTACAAGAGCCTCTATACAAGATAGTCGTGACTGGGTGGGTTAGAGCTGCTGGTGAAGATGCAGGTTTTCTGGGTATATCGAGTCAAGTATCCAGATATCGATGGATGAATAGTGTCGTCGTTATCGTGGGGTAGTGTCATCAGTGGACCTCACGGCGGTAGCACTCGTGGAAAGTAGGCGCCATTATGTGAGGAAGTTGGAAAGCTAGTTGAAGTTGGTTTGGAGGGTGGGAGGAGGTCAAGGAAGAGGAGGAGGGCGAGGAGGGGATGATCAATGGAGTCGGGAAGCTTGGAAAGCAGGCGGAAGGAGCGGAGAGATGGGACGTAATGAATGGCGAAAAACACCAGACGGAGAAGGGAGAAAGAACTGGAGAAGCTACAGCTGAGAATCGAGCGGAGGAAAGCAGATCCCAGGAACACACAGCAACAGAAACGGCAACGAGCAGACCGGGAGGCTCCACGGGCCCGTCGTCGACTCGTCGCCGGTTCCTTGCTTGGAGCGTGGTGACCGTAGTGGTGTTTCTCGGCCCCGGTGCTAGAGGATTGGCGTGTTTGGTGCGCCTCTGCGTTATCACGCAAGATTGACGGCTCTGCTCTGTGGTAGGTATCCATATCCATATACTTGTACGCCACGGCGTACCCGTACATCTGTAGAAAACAGAGTATTTGCAGCTGTTGTGTCTGTGGTCTGTAATGGTGGTGGAGAAGATGCACCTTGAACCATGTTTGACGTCGATATCCAGGTTCACGCCCATGGGCCCACGCTCCGTCACCACACCCATCATGGCCATGGATGATTGACAATCCCACGCCTCGCCATGCCGGGCCCTACGAAGAGTGGGCTGTGACCCTGCTGCTTGTTCATGGCACCTTGGCCAAGCCAGACGGACTCTCTCGGCTGGCGGGGCGCGCGAGAGCGAGCGAACGTGAGGGTGCTGGCGCGCTGACTGGGAACGCTGTGTTAGGGATGGAAGGGCGAGCGAGAAAAAAACACGAAGGGTCCACAACAGTTGTCAGAGAGAAGTGGAGAGAAGTTCGAGTCGACGATGTTGTGGTGGGTGGATTCGGCGATAAGAGTGCGCAAGCTCCAGCCTCGAGCCGCATCGAGTGTGTGGCTAACGAAAGGAAGTGTGTGTCGAGTATCCGTAGTGTGGTATTGATTGCTAGGCTGGAATCTTCGAATCGTTGGTTCAAAGAGCTTGTAGCTAAATTGCCATGCAGTTTCGACTTTGCTGCAGTCTGCGAGTTTGCAAAGGCGACAAAGATGGAGGGAAGGGGCAACCTGAGGCAAAATGCACCGGCAGAATGGAAGGGAACGCGCCGAGAGGTACCTGTGTATCTCTGGGATACGTACCTGCTTAGTGTGCAGCTCTTGCCGCCGTCGAGGATTTTTCCCTTGCGCTAGAAATGGCATTGTGCTAGAAAGAGTGGATCCTGCCGCGGAAACCCCTATCGAAGACCGCCACACCTTCCCTTCTTTCAGTGATACCTTACCGTGATACAGTGAGTGA